GCTGAACATAGTGCCTGTCGATATTGCAGGAAAAACTGCCGCAGCGCGAACAAAAATTAGACTCAGGGAAACCAATTGCTTGACCGATTAGAGACTGGACACTCTGCATTTATAGGGGGCTTCAAATACATCCCTGGTCTCACGGATTACAGCACCACCGAAATGGCTCCTAGGAGCTTCTTCTCCGCCCACTTTTCCTCAAGGGAGGATTGAGCCGTGCGGAAATTTTGGAGAGGGGGAGCAGTGAACTTCTTTACGAATGGATCGAAACTGGACTCCAAGGTTGGTTTCTGTCAGGCTTCCCGACTGCTGCAGTATATTTCAGACAGAAGTTGCTGGGGAATCATTGCTTAGAAGGGCGACGACAGTTAGGAAGGTGAGCCAAGCGGCTCTGAAGGACTTCTGTACTAGGCTCATTTGGGTTTCGGGTCACTCGGCTACATTGCGGGGAACTGTGTGGCCCTCGCAACATTTTCCCCGTATCAGGAGCGACTGGGGTGACATTTAGCACCTATGGTATACTCTTGGATAGTTGGGTATGATGTCAGCTCAGCGAGCACTGGGCGAAAACCAGGACATGCGCGATTCGAAGGTCCTTCTCGCCAAGGTTGGACAGTGGGTTTTAACGGTCACTGTCCAATCGGTATTTACGCATACGACTAAGTATTAGGTGCGTTCAAAATGTGGTATCACAAAGAACAATCTTTTAATTGTCTAAGTGAGTGCCTTACCTCTGGGACTTTTTTTTTTTGATTTAAACTTAAGGTTAAGTACCTGAGCTAGATGCAATGGCCAGTGGTGGATAACAAAATAAAGCCGATGTGCGATTTTGTTGTTCTTAATTTTTTATTTTTTTGGGAAAAACTGCAAAAATTTTGACGCAAGGAGACTTGACAGACGTAAACTTAGCGTCTAATCAAATGAATTATTCAGAGGAGCAAATAAAATCCATTAAAAAATGTATGTATAAGAATCGATACCCCGTGGCAATCTAATCGTTTTATATAAAAAATTTTTAGAACAAAATTAGAAATTTTCAAATTTATTTTTATTATTATTTTTTTTTTAATTTGGCTATTTGGTTTTCAATGGTTTTACTTATCCAATTAATGTCTATAAAATTTTAATAAAAAAAATGTTTTTTAGAAGAAAATGGAAAAATCTCAAAAGTTTTGTAGAAAGTGTGTGGCCACGCAAACCTTACCACCTTTTTTTTCTTCTTATATATGGAAAATATCCTTTACAAATTTTGTGCTTAAATATAATTGAAAATTTGCAATATTTTTTTTTTTATTATTGTTTGAGGACTAATATATGCACTTAACGCATCATCGAATTTCGTCCTGAAAACTTTATTAGCCAAAAAATGTTATTGTTTTTAAATTCTACAGAATTTTCTCCTTCATTTGGTACCCATATTCTTAACCTACATTGCACTGATTTTTTTAAATAAATTTTTGAATTAATCATAACTTTAAAATTTCAAAGTCCTTTGAAAAAAATCCTGACGTCACAATGAAAAATTAAAAACGCAGTTTTACTATATTTGGCCAGTAGTTCCGGGAGTATATCGATTCTTTCGTGTGCTTTGATTGTTTTTGTTTTTATCGCACGGTGTTATTGGACAAGGATTCTTAAACAATTCAAATGTTTCAAAAACGATATAATTGATATTACGATTTATTCCATTTCGCCATTTCGATATATCGCAAAACGATGTTTTGGAAAATATCAACAATCATACTACGCATTTTCGTCCATATAAAAATATATTTTTGATTGCGCGAGGCTCGGTAGAGAAATTTATATACTGTATTCATGCTTTCTATTTAATTACAATTACTATACATACATACATGCATGCGTCCAGAAATAATAAATACTCTTATGAACAACATTTGACCAAAGTCATGGATGAATGTCGAGTTGACGAAATTGATCGGGCTTGGCTGACGCAAAATACATATGTATGTATTTACATAGTACGTACTATATGTATGTACATAGATTACGCGCATAAGGGAATATGAGACTACATACTGTGAATTAACTATAAGTCAATCCCTCCAAGAAGAGAATTTTTATGGATTAAAAGGTACTTCAAAATACAAACAAAATTAAAAACGACTAGATTCGCTGAAAACTTTACAACCTAATTTGAAATCAGGAAAAGGAATCACGGAAAAGTTCAATACGAACGAACGTACGTGGCGTATGAGTAACATTTTCATCTCGTCTAAGTAACTCATGCGCCATGTACGTACGTTCGCTGTGTGTCTGTCGTTAAGGTGGAATTCCTCATAGATACAAACAAAAATCAAAAAAATAGCTGATACATATAAATAAATATACACTCATTTATATTAATACCATACATACATACTAATGTACACCTATCCATACATAAATACCTGGAAACTACCCAATGTCGAATGTGCCAGAAAAGGGCAATTGACATTCATAGTTGAATTTTTATTAGCTAAAAGGCGTTGAATTCATTTGAAGCTTCATACACACATAAACGGGTAGTATTTATGACAATTCGTTTCCTGGAAATCTACTTGTAAGCACATAGAACAATTTCCTTTCTGTTTCATAGTCAAAACAATTCATTGCCTCGTTTTAACAGTATGTAGCTGGATTCATAGAAAATCTTTGCAAAAAATGAGTGTGCTTCTACTTTGGTAAAATAAAAATTAAAATAGCATACCTAGAGTCAAGTGTAGTGATAAAAAGTTTTCTGGCTTGCTTGTCTCTCAAGCGAGACATTAGAGTGAAACTCAGTTTGATTGGAGATCTGCAGCATTGATATGTAGAAGGCACAGCATCTAGTTATTAAAAGGCAGCCAACGTAAGTGACTTAAGACGATTACTGAATGTCTAAAAATGCTCTTCAGCTGTCGCCGCTTGAAATGAAAGCTTAGTCATAATTTTTCTCTGAGGTGTTCGGTGTACCTAAAACATGTCTGGCTACACAGCACTTTTGCCCTGCCTAGGCTAAGCCAGAGCTTGCACGGTACCATGAAATTCGGTTAGAATGAAGTTCACAAGTAAAAAATACTCAGCAACTCACCTCACAACTGCGTTGCATCAAGAAGTAAGAACAATTTTAATGACAAAAAATCTCTCTTGGATGCAGAAATACTGCTAGATACATATCTGCATCAAAAAGAAAAAAATGCTTACTTTTTTTTTTGGTGGTTAGGACTCGATACATTCGTGTATACCAGCGATGGGCAGAGATAGCTTTTACTCTGCACGCGCCTATACGAAATGTATAGAAAGCTTAAAAGAGCTTTGCCCGCGGGCACGGCGGCATATACCAACGACCTCTGAAAGGCTCATAGTTTCCACAGTAAGGGGTTTTAAATAACTCTATGTATGTAAGGCAAGGCAAGGCAAAGCTTATAGGCTTATAGGAGCTTTAAATTAAAACATACCCACAGTTTTACAGTTCTGGAAACAGATAAATTTAAAGTACGAAAGCTTCATATGAAACTTTGTAAACTCTCCGAAGGCTAATAGCATTTTAAATTGAAGAAAAGTTTAAAAAATCCACAAAGTTCGAGTTTATGAAAAAAATGTGTGAGCTTATAAGCTTAAAGCTTCTTTAGCGTATTCTTTAAAAATGGAAAAAGTGGATTTCAGAAAAAATGTGTTATTTATATTAACAAAAATGTTATGCACAAAAAAATATAAAAAACATACACGACGAATAGAGAACCTCTTTATTTTTTTGAAAGTCGGGTGAAAATAAAAATAGACAGACAGGGCCCACTTATATCTTCATATATATTATTTTATGGCTAAATTTCTTAAATTAATATAAACTGGATAAAAGAAAATTCTCATTGACGTCTTGAAAAAAAGTCGATCAGAAGACTTCTAAGTTAGTAGGTAAAGATTTTATAAAAAAAAACACGGAAAAATACGCCATTCTTTCTATTATCAATGTGGACCTTTGTTGGCTAAAGAGCGGTAATCTCGAGTACGTTTTTAAAAAGTATCGAAAGCTTAGGAAAAAAATGTTAAACTCCGATGTATGTGTCGTGAACAGAGATAAGTAAGCTTCAATACGAAAGCTTCGAAAAGTTCGTTGAAAGTTCTTACGAGGCCTGTAGAATTAAAGATGTATGTATATGTACATATATTCTGCTTAAGCTATATATAAGTCGTAAATTTTCAGGGAAAAAGGGAAAAGAGAAAATAGGAGCTTTTTAAGGCCAAAAGCTGTTTATTAAAAAAAGCAAATAATAATAAGAATGGAATTCATCCAACGTATTTAATTTACCACAACAATAAAAGCATACATTATTTCTAAAACTGAAAACGATCAAAACTTTGAAAAGCTTGTCTTTGAAGCAGCCAGCTGTGCTCTAGGGGGCAGTCACAATGAAAACATATCACGCTGAAAAAGCTTTTCAAAGTTTTCTACAGACCAGTGATGAGCAGAGCGAGAGATTTTCGGTGAAGCTCAAAAAAGCGCCCGCGGGCAGAACTCTTTAAAGCTCAGTGTAGTTTTTATATAGACGCGCACAGAGTAAAAGCTCTCTCTGATCATCACTGATCTATGTATGTATGTATATCAGTGATGAACACCAGATTGCCCACGTGCAGAGCTTTTTTAAGCCTTCTATATATTTCGTTAGGTCTATATAGTACCTATAGAAAGCTTTTATCATGACATATGTTTCTTGCGTGATTTTTTCATATAGACTAGTACACGGTAAAAGCTGATGCTCATGTAACACGCCTATTGAGCTTTTTAAGCGGGAAGAATTATCTTTGGTCTTTACTGGTCTGAGAATCGTTACTAATTAGCTGATAGGAGGTCGACATTTCTGTTATATATATATACATATGTGGTAGACTAATTGATATTAAAAATTTGACTTCCCAAATGAATTGTATAATTAAATTCCTCTCCTTGATCTTCTTTAATTGAGCTCTTGAAGCATTATGATAATTCTAATCACTTTTTTCTTTCTCTTTCTTTGCAGTTAATGACGCCTACTTTGTACACACGATGCTCCGTCAAGCGCTCCGAACGAAAGGATTGAATTTTTGAAATACGGACAACATGGATAAACGCTCAAGTGTAGAAAGAATTTACTTAAGCAGTTGATAAAGACAAACAACATTCAAACATATAAATCTACGAAAACTAAAAACAAAAAAAAAGCCATCAACGTGAAAAAAATTCGACAAACGCAGAGAAGCAGCAATAAATTATGTACGAAAGGAAATACACGAATCGATGATAGCAAAAAGAAAAGAATTATTACAAAAGTAACAAAATAATTAGTCGTTTGCTTGTTAACCTTTTACACACATTTAACCAATTCTAGCCGTTCTACGCTTGTCTTCGCTATACACAAAATTAAAACGCTAATCTCTTCAACCAAACTCCAGCTTATTCCAAAAAAAAAACAACTACTTAGAGCTATTAAACAAATTCAGGGAGCGCCATAAATTGCGTGGATAAGAAACTGATCTTGCTCTGGCAACACTGGCACAGGTATCTTCCGTACGCTTCCAAAGCCGCAGAAGAAAAAGTAATAAAAAAACACAAAAGCTGCATAAAGCTGATTTCGCAACCGGAAAACTCGTAGGCAAAGCTACGAAATTTGCTGGAAGAAATTTTTTGATATGCAAAGCAGTTGATCAAAAGGATTTTCTTGACAACACAAATATTTACATATAAAATAAATATTTATAATTAGCAGCTGAGCCACAATTTAGTTCATAAATCGACTTTTTCCCAAGCGTATTGGGCAAAGCAATTTAATAATTGAGCAAGCAATTAAAACATTAACTAAGAAACTGCAGACAAAGAAACAAAAAATAAAAATAAAAATTAACTGAAGAAAGAAGAGCATAAATCGCGCACATTCGAAAATTTTACTGCTTCCTAAATTAGAAAAACAAAAAAAAAAACAACTAAAGTAAAATTATTTATAAAAACAAGTAGCAATTAAAAAAAAATTGAACGAGTCATCAATTATTCTAAAAACACAAAATCTATATAAAAAAAAAACAATTCAAAATTACAGACAATTACTAAAATTTCAATTGTGTGCAATTTCTCCGCACATTTACATACTTAGTACTATCAACGTTTACTTCAAGCTACAAAACGCGTGAACCACCTAAAAAAACTTGACAGAAAAAAATAAAACTCATCGAAACCCACAACTCGCAACACTTAAACCAATTGCAATTATTAGAAATTTACAATTAAAAATTAAAGAAAAAATAGTGAATTAGCCGAAAATCCAAAATCATTCCATTTTAAACTATTGCAAAAAAAACTAGTTCTAACCTAACCTATAATAAACCACTTTGTTATAAACCTAACAACACACTAAACCCCAGCTGCTACACACAAATACAAATACAAATAATGGAGGGTTCTAATAGTCCACGCGAAATGCTACTGCTCAACGGGCATGCCGAGAGCGCCGCACATATATTGGGTCTCCCAAATGGCAATATCATCGGTGGTGGCCGCAGTTTGCCTGCAGACAATGTAAAATCCGATCACTTCAACGGCGATGATATATCAGCTAGCAGTTTTATGTCCATTCCACAATTCTATGCGGGTCGTAGTGTATTTATTACGGGCGGTACCGGCTTTATGGGAAAGGTGAGTACGAGAGAGATATTCAAAAATAATATTCCAACGAGTGAAAGCTTTGTATAGCAATGTGAAAGCGCATTTCATACTTCGGGCGCCAAGCTTTTTAAGCTTTTCAAGGCGTTGTCACACGATTGGGCATTTGTCCAAAATTTGGTGTAAATTGTATCCCAATCGTGTGAATACATAAATATTTTTCTTTATCCCAATCACGGAAAATAAATTGTGACACTTCCTTAAGCATATTATTTGGACGGCCATAGAGTAAAACGCTTTTGGTTTTAACATCCTCTAAAACCAATCGAAACTTGTTACATGAAAGTTTCTCATATCAGACGGGAAACATAGCCATCGAATTAAAATGCGTGGCATTTGAAATATTTACAGAACTGCATGAAATTCTTTTTGATAGGCATTAAAGTATTTATATCAAACCCAGTTACAAACAAGTAATTTTTAGCAAAACAAAACCGGCTTAAAAAAAATATATATATACATACATATATTTCATGATCCAATGATCGGATCTAAACCAGATTAGTAAGGGACCACCTCTGAGACACTACCTTTCCGATGCACAAAGAATTATATTATCGAAATCGGTTGACGTGGTCCAAAGTTATGCGGTAACATACATAAAAAAAATAACAAACAAAAAATATTCCGACCAACTGATAACCACCTCCTCTTTTGGAAGTCGGTTAAAAAAAGAAACACTGAAACATAAAATTCATAAACCATAATGAAGGTTAAAACACTAATGTTTGCAGATGGTAACAAAACTATAACAACTGAGAATTAAAGCTTTGAGTATCAGTTTGAAAGCTCTTGAAGCTTGATAAATAAAATTCGCGAAATGTGCTAGAATATAGATATAAAAAAAAAACAATATGGAAGCTTCTTAAAGGTTCAAGGTCGATAAATTCTGATTAAAAAGTTTAACATTTTGAAGAAACTTGTTTGGGCTTTATTAGATAGCAAGCTATACTTTCATAAAAAAATAATTAAAATTAAATAAACAAAAGAAAGAAAATAACATAAAAAAAAAGAAAAACAAAAAAAAGATGTGGCGTCCCTATTTAGTTTCGCGCCACTGTAAATACATACGTATGTAATGGACTACAGAAGCGCACGTGGCAAACACACTCTCTGCTCATCGCTGCTCTACATCTTTGTATGTATGTAGGTACTTCCGAAACCCTCCAATCTCTACATTCAGTGTTGGGTAATTACGAAATTCTTTACATAAAAATAAACTTCTAAATATTTAATGTACTCGCGTGCAATTGCTTAGTTTGGCATGTGGCAATATTTGTTTTCATTGCTTTGTTCACTCATTCATCCTCCCCATTGTTATCTATTTGTTTACATTAATTTGGGATTAGTATTTTTTTGACGACTAGAACGTTGGCGTAAACCACGACGCGGGACTATGAAACATTTTCAAATGCGGAAAAAATTAACAAATAGATACATAGTATGTACATAGACAAAAAAGTACAATAACTACTTAGATGAAAAAAATAATAAAAAAAAGTTAAAGAAATGATAAATGACACTGGGACATTTGTTGCACACGCTCTTTTGAATTCACTAAAGTTTCTATGCTGCTTTTAATTTAGGAAACAATAGCAACCGACGTTATTGTGTCGCATGACAATGCCAAAAATCAGGCAAATAGGGAAGATACATATCGTAAAAAGGGGGAAATGAGCATCGATTGAATCTAGTGTAGCCTCAAATACAAATATTACTATTCTTTCTTTAAAATTTTAAAGTTGTAGGGAAACCTCGATAAGAATGTACATATATATGTATGTCGATTTAAAAATGGTCCCCAACCTCAGCCGGCAGAGGGATTTTCACAGATACCCTACGCAGACGATTGCTCGGTATTGGGGGCCGTGTTGGGGCTCTTCGGTAAGGAGCATCCAGAAGCGGAGCCACCTATTAGGAACGTCAGAAGGCAGCTCTATAAACTTACGGACGAGATACAGACCTACCTTGCACAGTAGGGTGTTTTTTTTTGTAACTTTTTTTCCAAAAGTTTGCTAGACATGTTTTTATATAGAAAACACTTCCAGCAAAAAAAATGCCAAAAATAGAAGTGATTTTTAGCAACTTGAAGCTCGCACTTTATCATACTAAAATTTAATGAGCTACGAAACTGTATCCTCAAAATCCTTCCTGAGAATCTTAAAAAAAAGTAAAAAAAAAACCTCATCAGTTGAGAAATTTTTCTAAACTTTAAGATTTTTGGAGCGATCGTATATATTATCCGATCGGAAAACAGTTTAACACATTGACTGCCAAGGCACTTTCAGCAAATAAGATGTTCTGGGCCACAGCATTTTTTTTTTAAATCTCATCAGAGACGTCAAAATTGGAATTTAGGGTAGTGCTGGTAATATTTTCTGCTTAGAAACAGGCAGTTTTTAACTAATTAGTATGTCACACACATATGTTCGACGTGGCGCCTACCGACTTTTTTTTTAACTCAGGGCCATGGCGGACATATATGCACGACGAAAACATTGGCTAAACATCAAAATACATCGTCGTCATACAAGCTCTACTTCGTTTTGCAAAAACAAAACAATTGGGAGTATGTTGTTTTTGCAAACAAACACCAAACAACGTTATATGACGACAATGTATTTTGATGTTTGAATCCGTTATTTTTGCAAACAGAAACAAGTCAAAGCTTATTACATGCTCAGTAAACAAGAAGACTTGATCGCGTTATATTGGTTGATAATATTTGTGTTACGGAATGTCGAAAAGAAAATTTTTATCAGATACTGAGTTAGAAAAAATACTCGCAATTCCAGAAAGTGAAGAAGATGAAGATTATAGCTCTGATGACTCTGTAAAGGATCCTATGTATAATCCTACTGCATACTCTTCGGAAAGTGAAGAAGATGAGGAAGTCATAAATAATATAGAAGAAGTTCTTGAAAGCCTAGCACTAGAAGAGAATAGGGAAGAAAGCGATGAAGAACAAGAAAATCGGGTCGCAAGTGAACCCCAAATTATAAATGCTGTCTGGTCTGAATACGAAGGTCGTCATAAAACATTTACTTTTTCGGGAAAATCAGGCCTACAAGTAGATGTCCCACAAAGTGTCACCCCATTTGATGGTTTTCGTTTGTTTATTGACGATGAAATAATCAACCTCATCGTATTAGAAACAAATAGATACGCTGAGCAACAACTGATTGCAAAAGAATTGAAACGCGAAAGTCGAATGAAAAAATGGACTCCAACTAATAGCGATGAAATGAAAAAGTTCTTGGGACTTGTATTATGGATGGGTCTTGTTCGATGTGGGAGTATTCCATCATACTGGTCTACAAGTGAAATTTATAAGAACAATGTAGCGCCCAAGGTAATGCCGCGGAACCGTTTTGAGTTAATACTAGCAAATATACACTTCGCCAACAATGAAACCATTCCAAAAGGGGATAGGACTGGAAAAGTTCAACCACTTATAGATATGTTGCAAAAAAAATACCAAGAAACTTTATACCCAGATGAGGATTTTGTAATTGATGAGACTCTTGTGCCTTGGAGGGGTCGCTTAGTATTTCGACAGTATATTCCAAACAAAGCCAATAAGTATGGCATAAAATTATTCAAGCTATGTTCTACAGAAGGATATACATGGGCAAGTAAGACTTACTCAGGAAAGTCAGAGGTTTACGCAAGAAATCTTGGCCTGGGACGATCAGTTTGCGAAGAACTTTCGCAGGACTTACTAAATCAAGGTAGAACACTGTTCGTTGACAATTTCTATACAAGCTATGAGTTGGCACTTTCCTTTTTACGACAAAATACACACATTGTGGGTACACTAAGAGCAAACAAAAAATATATGCCCAAAGAAGTGTTTGATGCCAAATTGGAAAAAGGTCAGGTAATTCATAGAGAAGAGCAAAATGGAATTGTGGTACTGACATGGCGCGATGCTCGTGATGTACGGATTCTGTCAACAAAACACAGTCCAAGAATGGTAGAAGAAGCTCAAGATAATGGCGAACAAGCATTAGCTTCTGACCTTGACCAACCATCAACCTGTAACACCTCTGGCTCAAAACGTCGCTTGGCGAAGAAGAATAAGAAAAAGCCAATAGCCATACTTGCTTACAACAAAGGAAAAGCAGGGATTGATTTATTTATTTATTTATTTACTGTTCTTATGCTACTACTTTGAGGAAGGGCGTGAAGTTGTACCGCAAACTGGGTTTAGAATATCTGCTTGGACTATCAGTAGTAAATGCTTTTGTAGTGTACAAGAAAGCTACGAAAAAAAATAATGCACAAATACGATGGTTTAGAGAACAAATTACTTCATCACTTCTAAATTTGCAGAGGCCAGAAAAACATATGAAGCCAAAATCAGGCAATATTCATATTTTAAAAATAAAACTAAGTGCAAGTAATACAAAATTACGTCGAACATGTACTTTATGTTATTCCAGAATAAAACAAATGGAAGGAAGGGAGATCGCCAGAAAGAAGGCTAAATGAGTATACACGTATTGCCCGGATTGTCCCCAAGAGCCATTCATGTGTTTAGAATGTTTTGGGAATCTCCACAAACAAGTTTAATGGGTTCATTTGTATAACTACTTTGTAAAAATAATATGTAAAAAATTTTTTGTTACTGCAATAAAATGAATTTAATTTTTTTTTCAAATCCAATTTTTTCCAATTGTTTTTTGAGCTGCGCCGAAGCCACTATAACAGAAATTTCATGGGAAGCCATATATTTTATTATTGCAATAAAATCATATTTATCCTCAATCGTTGCTGTGTGACATGGCGAGAGAGAATAATAGTCTTGTCGGACATATGTGTCCGACGTGGCGTAAACCGCATAGTACAGTGTCACACATATATGGCCGACGTGGCAGTCAATGTGTTAACGCAGTTCAATGTGATCATGTTACGCAACTTGTCCGCACTATTCGAATTTCGAAATCGAAAAATTGATTTTGTTGCTGCAACCGATTGCTCATCGACTCCATCCGACCTTGTATGGGCAAGCAACTTTCACGGAAAATAGTCACCATCTTTACACCCATCGCAGAGAAAGAGCATCGGCTGCATCGAGCGTAGCTCTGACGCCATAAGGTCTGGCTACTGCAGCAAATTAAAATCGTATTAATCTGTACTCGACCCCAACATGTCAAACATAATCACATATATTCGGCTAGTGAAGGCATCCCTCGTGACTAGAGATGGGCTCGGGCCAAAAATTTCAACCCCGATCCCGCCCATGCCGAAATTAAATTTTTAAGTACCGAACCCGCCCATCTCGACGTTTTTTAGAACTGTACCGCGGGTAGCGCTGGTCCCGAAACCTATCACTAAGTTTAGTTCACATGTCTTTCAAATTAATTTTAAGTAATACAAAATCTGGCATCTTCCAATTATTATTATTTTTTGTGTGCCTTGCTGTTCGTTTTCGTATCAATAAAACAAAAAAGTGCTTCTTATTTCATGAAAAGTTTTTAAGGAAGATTTTCTGAATTGACTGAGGTTGTGGGTTTTATCGGGAGTGTCGGGAAAGCATTTTGATCCGGTCCCGCCCGCAAATTTTTTAAAGACCTTCCCGATACCGCTCATCGCGGCCATTTTGAAATCAGTGCCATGGGTCCCGATACCCGCGTCCATCTTTACTCGTGACACCGTATACCTCTTCACTTATCCCCTCCACTTAGCTAACACCCTTCGATCGATTCCGTCGGAACATAATGTTTCCTGGGACTACTGTTAGTTGAGTTTGTCGTGAACGATTGATAGACTAGCCGAGTTAGGAGGTGCTTGGTGGTGCGTAAGCGAACTGAAAACCTTGGACTCAGTGCGGAAAACTAGAGAATGTCTCAAGAGTGTACCTCCAAGTGTTACTTAGATTCGAAAAAGGCGTTGTCATCCTAATCGATGTCTACCATAAGTACCGTTAAGAACCAAACGTTCCAACACAATTCGGAAAAGCATATATACTTAAATATACATAAGTCTCGAAAATAACTCAGATACTGGAAATCAGTCCAGAGTCCACTTGATATATATGAAGGGAACACTTCTCAATGCTTTTGAATGGCAAAACCGGTGGCTTGTGTGATGAAAAAATAGCCATACTAATTTATTGGGACGAAGCTCATGTCCCTCGAGTCAACCAAGACGGGGTGAGAACAGTGTAATGTGGCTTAAAAACAATGGAGCCCCTGGAACCGACGGAATACCGGCTGAGCTGCTCAAAGCCGGCCGCGAAAAGCTGGGTGGGCGTATGGACTAACAGCTGGTACAGCAGAATTTCGGGCTAATAAAGAGATTCTCGGGTTGGGTTAAGCCTTCTCAACTTTCCATGTTCGGTTATACAGACCATGCTGTGTAAAAAACTGAAACGATTCAGGAGCAAGCTATCCTAACTAGATTTTCACAGCGACTGAAACAGTTGAAAAGACGCTAGATTAGCAAATCGACCCACAAAATTTGTTCGTCGAGTTTAAAGCCGCTTTTTATGTTTGGATTTCTCGCAATACTTATACGGCTATGAAGAGTGACGTTGCGCACAACTTTAAGCTGCGTCCAAGTCGGAAAGAACCTATCCGCATCGTTGCTGTCGGTAGACAATTTAGAAGCAGAAACGGATGATATTGCACAAATATGAGAAGTCTTTGAAGGTATTCGAGCGAGTTACATATTCTATGTACCCGCACCCAGGCTGAAAACTTTTGAGCTTGAATTGAGTAAAAAATTTGCATAAGGATAATAAAATAATTAGCCACAGTCGCCATAAAACCAACATCTGAGGCGCACATATTCCAACTAACTCAAATCCCAAATCTTATAATTCCATATTCTTACCAAAAACTCCTCAGCTGCTTAGCGCAAATCTATAATCTACTCATGTGTGATGCCAGTAAAAGCATTTAAAACAAATCGACACCTTCGACGGAAACGGATGCTAGTACGGATGTGGTGCACCCACAAGCAGGATATCTCTATTTACTCAACACATAAGCGCTTGAGTGCAACGGCATGAACTATTTAGTACCAATCACCGTGGATGGGTGAACCTTTAGTACGCAATCTCCTTACAAGTATATGATGATACTAATATTTGTTGTTTGCTATACTATAGGACGAAGCAGTGTGATACAGCAGCTTGGAAGCAGGCTAGTATGGGGTTTTATGACAGTGCAACTAATACTTATAAAAATAATGAGCGCTATAAAAACGACAAACATTGAGGGGCAACATGCGATTAAGTTAAAATATTCAAGTAAGCAAGGATATACTCATATTTGACATGAGTGGAGTGACTTTTTTATGGTCTCAGTATGCAACGCATTCAAGATGGCGACAACGATTGTGTGGGTTTGCGTGTCTAAGCGGCTATTCCAACCCGCTACTACTTTGTACTCGCGTTCATTTTATTTTAACCTTTAAGTTTGTACTTTTTTTCGTACCACCAGCCTGGACGTGGGGTATCACAGGCTTCCAAATCTGCGGGACATTGACAGCAATTTCTAGTAAATTTTATAACAAAGACTTTAAGGGTAATATGAGTAAATATGTACATTAGCAAACATCACTCCTATACAAAAGAACTCGGTACTGTTTTCCATTGGAATTATAAAATCTATTATATTTTATTATGTATTTAATGTTCGGATCCGCCCGAACTTAGACTTCCTTACTTGTTTTTATTATTTTGATGCAAATTTTATAAGTTGAAACTTTTTTGTCTTCTTTAAGAAAACTATTTTTATTTATAAAAACTGCGTTTTTGGAGGTATTTTCAAATCGGTCCAGCTCACGCAAATCTTAATATTTTTCCGAAATATTTTGGTGCAAGTGTTAAAAAATAATAGATTTTATAATTCCAATTAAAAAACAGTGCCGATTTTTTTTTTTTGTATGGGAGAGTGATGCAGTCTAATGAACATATTATCTTAATGAAAGTATTGAATTTTCATATAAATCTTTTTTTGTAAGCAACCGAAAAATATTATCAAAAATAACAAACATTTTCAGTGTTCTTTGACATGAGAGGAAAAAGTCTGTGAGACCCCTTATCCACGGTTAAAGGTTAACATACATATGCTACTACGTCACTTACATCGCCCCATTCTACCACACACACGCACACATATGAGTGTATATTCTCAATGCCGCCAATAATGTGTGAAACAGTGGGAAAGTGAAAGATGCCTAGATGGCGACAACGACAAGTATTTGGAATGTAGCAAAGAGAGTCCTGTGTCCTGCGTTCCTGCCAGTGCCAAAAAGGGGTTGCTACTTAAATATATATAGCCTGAGCTGGCTAAATATCCCTATGTCCTTTGAGTATTAACTACACCACCTGCATAGTCACCTCTCCTGCTGATCCAGGTCTTTTAGCAGCAATTAGTGTATTGTTTATGACATTTAAAATCGATTTGGGTTTTATCGTTCAAATTACAATTATGTATTCACCTCATTACTTTTGAGTTGATAATCATGTATTGCATGTAAAGTGCGAAAAGCTCACTGAGTCAACTAGTAAAAGAGTTGATGAAAAAGTTTAAAAGAGTTGGGGGGGGGGTAAGTGTAAAGGCTGCATGTGTACTAGAAACGTAGCACTTTCGTGCTTCAGTGTGCACACATACCAGTGCATATGTAGTATATATTTAGGCGTTAGCTCATTGTGTGGCGCTCATATGAGCCATATACTCTACATTCACTTGCACGGTAATTGTGTTTAATTGCTCTTGTTTTCGTTGTTGTAGTCATCGTGCGGGATTTCGTTGGTAGTTTTTTTTTTTTGTTTTTAATATGTTTCTTTCATTCTTTAGCATTTCTGACATTTTAATGACCTCGCCTGGCAGCTGCTAGTCAGCTACTGTCGCCACCGTTTAGTAGAATTATTGTTTTAATTTTTGCTAGCAGCGGTGATATGTGAGGATTTAGAATGTGTTCATACATACATACGAGTAAAGTCAATCCAATGTATGTATGTACGTATACATGACATGCATGCCAGCGCGCATTGCTCCCGATGATCTCAGCACCTAAGGCGCTTGGTGATTTGAATGTTCGACGCTTCAAAAAATGCGGTGCGAATGGTTTAAGGTACATACAGACTTACGTTTTTTAGCATATCCTTGGGAGACTAAGTTCTGCAGATTTAAGCAATTTTATAAGAGTCAAAGATTTAAGTTTTTATTGGTGATAACAGAAAAAACCATAAACTCAAATGTGTCTCAAAACTAATAAATTTAGTTAGACAACATTTTAATTATCGTTTTCCCAAGTAGGCTTTAAAATTTATCTTCACTTCAAATACATTTTTTGGGCCAAAATTTTAAAAATAAACAAAGAATGGTTTACTGCCCTTAATGTAGTTCTAAGAAGAGTTTAGGTATTTTTAATTTATCGTTGAAAGATATTAAAAATGCGTTCTTTCAAACCCAGCTCTCAGAACTAATTTATAATATAATATTTTTTTTTTTAACTAAGCAAATATTCTGTTTTCTTTTGCCAGGTTCTTGTTGAAAAATTATTACGTTCATGTCCAGATATAAAAAATATTTATCTACTAATACGACCAAAACGAGGACAAGAAGTCTCAGCGCGTCTGAATGAGCTGCTTAATGCACCGGTAAGTAAAAATACATCAGTTTAGTGCAAATGAAAATGTATCCAAAATTTTAACTTAAAAAATTTTAATTTTTTTTCAATTGAATGAAGAATAAATCAATTATGTATACATGTATGTAATTGAAAAATATACATTATTCCTAAAATATGGTTCGTAATACATAGATAAATTTCGGATTTTTATACAAACAGCGAGCCAAAAAAATATGTACCACATGACTATAAGCAAAATGTATAAATTTGTGCAAAATTATCGTATGTTACATTTTTACGAAATTCACTTTTTGATGCAACTTTGTTTTACAACCATTCCATTCGACGAAATTCTCTCATTTCGTTGTTTATACTTTTAAAGTTTGCGTTTTTTATTAACCGTTGAAATGTACTTACGAGCATAGAATTGCATATTAATATATAGATACATATAAAATGGCATCGATTGTATTATTTCATGCCAAGTATTTAATTCTTCTTTGATGCTGAAAGTTGCTCATACGCCCCGGCATTTACATTTGCGGAAATTTTAATAGTGCATACATATATGTACATATAAAATACCCAATTTAACAGCAGGAATAGTAAAACTTAAAAAATTCAAAGTGAAATTTTATTTAAAATCTCGTTTCCTTTCTCATCCTCTAAAGCTTTTCGAGACATTGCGAAGGGAGAAACCAAAGGAATTGGGTAAAGTGATTCCTATATCCGGTGATATAACATCCGAGGAATTGGGCATCTGCGAAAATGATCAGGTAATTACAAGCATTTTAAGTTAGATAAACTAGCAATTTTTCTATAATTACAAGCTGTAAAAATTTGGAATTAGTAATTACCTATTATAATTATAAAATTTATTATAATCTAAGACTTTCGCCAAAATGTTACGGAAAAATTCTAAGATTTTCGTGTGCTAGCCCCCAAAAATCGAATTATGTATATTACTGCAATTTATAAAATTTTTATTTTTATTTACCGTTTTTGCTTATTTCTGTCACCTGAGGTGGTTTTGTAGAAAAAATATATGTATTTAGAAACTAACTTTATTAAAAAAAAATCAATTTTGTGACTTTCAAATGTGTCCAGCTCACGTAAATCTTAATATTTTTTCAGAAATATTTTGGCAGAGGTATTAAAATATGAAAAATTTTATAATTCCGCTGGAAAAAACATACCGATTTTTTATTTTATTTTTTGAGAGTGATGCACCGTTATGTGCACATGCCGCTCGAAATTCTGTATGCATCAAAATTAACATCATTTATTTGCAGGCGCTACTCTGTCGCACAGTATCCATTGTATTTCATTCAGCTGCCACTGTCAAATTCGATGAAAAGCTCAAATTATCTGTCACAATCAATATGCTTGGGACAAAGCGTTTGGTTGAGTTGTGCCATCGCATGATGTCCTTAGATGTAAGTATAGGAAATTAAATGAAAAAAATTGAAATTCAAAGATTTACGAGATGATTTACATACATACATTCATATAAACAAATATCTTCAGAGATAAAAAAAACGTATTTTTATTTAAGGCTTCATTTTAATAGTTGCGATTATAACTTTTCCAGGCACTTATACACGTCTCCACTGCCTATTGCAATTGCGATAGAACCGAGGTATCAGAGGTTATATATGCACCACCCTATAATCCCGATGATATTATTTCACTGATCAATTGGCTTCCTGAGGATATGCTCGATCAGGTAATTTTAAAAAAAAAAATACATATAATAAATAAAAGAAAAAAAAAAATGAAATAAAAATACAAAAAAGGTAGGCTCGCGCAGTTATATGTATGTAGCTGTTTGGATTCCTAAACTGCTAAAAAATTATCACTAGCGCCTTTGTGTGATTCTACTCGTACTTTATTCATCAGCCAACAAATTTCCTTCATTCCATTTTCAGCTGACACCATCGCTGATTGGTAAACGCCCAAATACGTATACATTTACGAAAGCCTTAGCGGAGCATATGTTACTCAAAGAAGCTGGTAATCTGCCTGTTGCCATTGTGCGGCCATCGATTGGTGAGTGTACATAGCATTTTATGCTTACTTTATATTTTGTTGTATGTGTTTTAACTAAATTCTCTCTTCGTCCTTCATCTTCTTCCTGCAGTGATTGCCAGCTTGAATGAACCCTTCGCCGGTTGGGTTGACAATTTTAATGGTCCAACTGGTTTGGTAGCAGCCGTCGGTAAAGGTCTATTCCGTACAATAATGTGTGAAAAGAATTATGTTGCCGACATGGTACCTGTCGATATTGTGATTAATTTAATGATTGCCGCAGCATGGCGTACAGCGACGAGAAAATCCGATAATTTGGCGATATATAATTGTTGTACCGGACAACGACATCCCATACAATGGGGTGAATTTGTGAAATATGCCATGAAACATGTGCGAAAACATCCATTGGGTGAGTCCAAAGAAAAATATATATACATACCTATTTCTCGATTGCAGGCCGCGGTAAGACAATACACCGATTATGCACAACCAGAAATATAATCCCATAGGCTCTCTAGCGTCCTTTTCTCGTCGAGTAGCATTCCTGGAAATGAGGTTGCTGATCAGTTAGCCAGGGTAGGTTGCACGTTGGCCTCAACCAAGGACCAGAAATCGTGTTAAAAGACGCGCACGGCGTACGGCTGTTGGACTCAAAGGGCTCGTATAAAACCTAAAATAAAAAAACACAACCTTTTAGAAACCCCAAAAACTGACGTTGCGAGTCTAGTAGCAGTTCTTACTGCACACTGATAGAATAGTATCCACGCCACAAGAGCGACCAGAACTGGCTAATAGAAAAAAGTTGTTTTGCACCATGAAAATGGTTGCGAAGTTTTAATACATCCACTGTATAGCCCGGACCTTGCACCGCCAGACTTCCAGTTGTTTCGGTAAAAAAAAACTCTCTTAATGCTAAAAAATTTACCTACCGAAGAGCGATTGGAAAGCACTTGACCAAGTTTTTCACCGATAAGCCACAGAAGTTCTACACCGATGGAATTATGAAGCTACCTAAAAAATTGCTAAGGCCATAGATATCAGTGGCTAATATGTACTTCATTAAAATTGATTTTGAATTAAGATTTTTTTTCAATAGGGAAATTTTTTTTCCAATAGAGTAATTTTTTTAATAAAGATTTTTTTTCAATTAATAAATTTGTGTTAATATAGTAAGTTTTTTTAGTACAAACCTTTTTTTTGTTAATTTTCCCAAAAATCCGCGTTGACTTTTTATATGACCAAATATTTTGGTTATTTTCACATTTTTTATATCTTTTTTGCTTAATTCTCCAGTTTCATTAGTTTCTTCTTTCAACCAAAAAATTGCAAAAGCCATGTACTTTACTTATGTACTTGATTAAAATGGATTTTAAATTAAGTTTTTTTTAAATTTACCTAAAAATCCGGCCTTTTTATATTACCCAATATTTTTGTTATTTTCACCAAATATTTCCTCCTTTTTGTTGCTTAGTTCTACAGTTTCATTAATTACTTTCCGCTGTAATATCCTGTTTAAACCTTCCATTCTATTTCTAATCTACAGAGGGCTGCCTGTGGTATCCGACCGGTGTGTTACGCATGAATCGTCCATTGAATGCAGCACATGGCTTCCTCGTACACTACTTACCGGCCTATATATTGGATATCGTTGCGCGACTAATGGGCAAGAAGCCATTGTAAGTACATTCATACATCCATGCGTTCGGAAAGACAGACATGCATATATTTAAAGCAAATACACTTACTTTTGTAAATGGAAACAATTTTATGCGTTTACCACCTCTTCGTTTTCTCCTGCTTAACTATTTACCCACTCCCGATGCTTGCATATACTTACATTCATACTTACGAATGCGACATTTTTTTTCTTTTTAATTCTTTAACTTTTTGCACGAATTCCCTTAGCATGGCAAATATCCAAAATAAAATTGCCAAAGCTGTGGGTTGTTTGGAATACTTTGCCACGCACCAGTGGCGATTCAAGGATGACAATGTGCACGCACTACTCAATGCGCTGAGCCAGAAGGATCGCGAAACGTTTGTGTTCGATGTACGCACCATTGACTGGGAGAACTATGTGGAACGTTATGTATTGGGCTATAGGGAATTCTTATTTAAGCAACGTCCAGAATCGCTACCTGCGTGTCGAAAGCGTATGATGCGGTAAGTCTATTAAGTGAAATGGAAAAATTAAATAACTGTGCTACTCCTTAACTTGTGCGATTTTCTTGTCATTCACAATAGATTATACTATCTGCATCAGCTGACCAAAGTCGTCGCGGTGATGTGCACTTGGCGCTTCCTAATGGCGCATTCGAAGCGTCTGAATGCATTGTGGACAGCATTTTTACAGAATGTATTCAAGTTAATACGATTAATACCATTTTTGTAATATTCGATGGAGGAGAAAAATTGATTGGAGGGTGAAGCAAATACTTTGCTGGTATAGTTGCATAAATAATTGAATTACTTGTATTAAAACAATAAGAAAAAAATTATAATTAATACAACTTATACATATATAAATACATAAATATATTTTTTGTTATTGTGTTTCTATATTTTATGGCAGTTAAGTTTAAAATTAACTTAAATATTTTCAATTATTATTTTTGTATTGTAATAAAATTGTAATCGAACGAAGCTGAAAAATATAAATAAAAATAAAAATCAATTAACAAAAAATTATGTCGAAGAGTTATTAGTAGTAAAAAGTAAAATATGTATTTAATATATGAAACAGCTATAATAACAAGTAATGCGTAGACATATTAGTGCGTGAAATTAAGTGGAAAACAAAAATTAAATATAAAAACAAATTACCGATTGCAATTACGCTATTGCATATATAGTATAGCGAAAAATTAAGATATGTGGTACCAAATAAAGGAACAAATATATTATAAAAATATTCGAACAACCGATTTTTGTATAAATTTATGAGATGCATGTCAGCTACTACTTTTTGTATTCAAACCTTCTTTTCATTCCCAGTGTTTAGGCTACAAATTTACTAAATTTTACTACAAAAAATTCTACTAAACATTAAAACATAGAAATTAACAGAAAATTGTATTTATAGTAGTGTACGATGTTTTTTGTTTGCAAATTAAAGCCAGCAAATAAGCAAAATGCAAAAAAAAAGAATGAGTTTTTGCCTTTAGGAATTATTTAATTTTTTTGTCATGCAAAGCAACAAAAGCAATTTTATTGGAATATAATATAATTAGGTGAATGAAGAAAAAATACTATTAAGTATGAAAACATAAACATACATACATAGGTACATACATTAACATATACATACATACATACTTGAGAAATATTTGCAATAAAGACACTAGCATGTGAAATAAAATAGTTTAAATTATAATAAAATGAAATTGTAGTTTAAATAAACACAAATTGAAGTAAAAAGCAGAAAAAAACTTATAAACATTAAATTTAAACAACATTAAAGCGCATGAGTAATAAATAAAGACCATTTAAAGCCGAATAGCGTTAGTAGTTTTACAAAGTAAATAAAATTTAAAATTTGGTTAAAAAGTATTTGAAATAATAAAAAGCTGGAGAAGCAAAAAATAAGATGAAGAAAATACTAAAAGCTGAAAGGAAAAAGTGTAAAAGCATAACTACTACATAAACTGAAACGCATAGTAAGCATAAATTAAAAACAATTACAAAAAAATAAATAGCAGCATGTCTTATTATGAACGAAAAATAATAATAAAAATATATAGAAATGCAGAAATTTTAAGAAAGCATTAAGTTTACATACATGAAGTAACATGTGCAGTCAGCGTCAGTTTACAAGTATAAGTAGACAAAGAAAAAAAAATTACATAAGCAAAGTATATAAAAAAAAAAACAATACAAAACAAATAAAATGCTTGTTATAAATTACTTTACATTAAAAAAGAAAAGTGAACACAAAAAATGTAATAGCGAACTAAATTTATGCATTAAAATTATGAGAATAAAAATTAAAAAGTATGAAATAAAATAAAAAAGTGAAAAAAATATGATCTTTCTATTGCTTGCACTGTCGCTCAGTGGTGCCAAACTGGAATTTACTGTTGAAAATAGTCCATAGCCTACATTTTTCAACCAGCAAAAAATAAAAAATATAAAAAATCTACGCGAATTCTTAGCCACCTGGACAAAAGATAATCAGTCGGATGTTACTTTCGGCAGGTTTCGGGGAATCGCAAATAAAGTCTGGAATGCAATTTCTCAAAAACTTGAAGATAGATTTTCTGCAAAGTGTCGGAGGATGTTACTGGTCCGCGCAGTTCTTAAATTATTTTATTTGTATTGTACATTGTTAACTCTCTTTAGTAAAACTTTGTCGTGTGCGACAATTTTGCAACCACTGTATAGCCTACGATAAAATGTGATAACAATTTGTACTAAATTAACGATAACTTTTAGTCAATATCTCGTAAAAAAATTACCGGCAAGCCAGGCAAAAACCATTTTCGGTGGCCACTCTATAAGCTGCCGCGGAAACATTTTTTTTTTAATTTTCCGCTTCCTGCCCCTAAGCATAGGCTACATTTCCGTGCACCGAAGTTTTGTCTACAGATTTCCGGCAGGCCGGCAAAAATCAATTTCAGTGGCCTACTCGACAATTTCTACCAGGCGAGCAGAAATGGGCAGCAAGCTGCCGCGGAAACATTTTTTTGAATTTTCTGCTTCTTGCCCCTAAGCATAGGCTACATTTCCGTGCACGGAAGTTTTATCCAA